ATTGTAGAGGAAGGAACACTCCCAAACTCATTCTATGAGGTCACCATCACCCTGATACCAAAACCAGACAAAGATACTACAAAAAAAGAAAATTCCAGACCAATATCACTGATGAATATAGATGCAAAAATCCTCAACAAAATACTAGCAAACAGAATCCAACAACACATTAAAAGGATCATACACCATGATCAGTTTATCCTAGGGATGCAAGGATTCTTCAATATACGCACATCAATCAATGTGATACACCATATTAACAAACTGAAGAATAAAAACCATATGATCGTCTCAATAGATGCAGAAAAAGCTTTTGACAAAATTCAACACCCATTTATTGTAAAAACTCTTCAGAAAGTGGGCATAGAGGGAACCTACCTCAACATAATAAAGGCCATATATGACAAGCCCACAGCAAACATCATTCCCAATGTTGAAAAACTGACAGTATTTCCTCTAAGATCAGGAACAAGACAAGGATGCCCACTCTCACCCCTATTATTCAACATAATGTTGGAAGTCCTAGCCACGGCAATCAGAGAAGAAAAAGAAATAAAAGGAATCCAAACTGGAAAAGAAGATGTAAAACTGTCACTGTTTCAGATGACATTATACTATACACAGAGAGTCCCAAAGATGCCACCAGAAAACTACTAGAGCTAATCAATGAATTTGGTAAAGTTGCAGGATACAAAATTAATGCACAGAAATCTCTTGCATTCCTATACACTAATGATGAAAAATCTGAAAGAGAAATTAAGGAAACACTCCCATTACCATTGCAACAAAAAGAATAAAACACCTAGGAATAAACCTACCTAGGGAGAGAAAAACCTGTATGCAGAAAACTATAAGACACTGATGAAAGAAATCAATGATGATACAAACAGATGGAGAGATATACCATGTTCCTGGATTGGAAGAATCAATATTGTGAAAATGACTATACTACCCAAAGCAATCAACAGATTCAATGCAATCCCTATCAAATTACCAATGGCATTTTTTACAGAACTAGAACAAAAAATTGCACAATTTGTATGGAAACACAAAAGGCCCTGAATAGCCAAAGCAATCTTGAGAACGAAAAATGGAGCTGAAGGAATCAGGCTCCCTGACTTCAGACTATACTACAAAGCTACAGTCATCAAGACAATATGGTACTGGCACAAAAACAGAGATATAGATCAATGGAACAGGATAGAAAGACCAGAGATAAACCCACGCACCTATGGTCAACTAATCTGTGACAAAGGAGGCAAGTATATACAATGGAGAAAAGACAGTCTCTTCAATAAGTTGTGCTGGGAAAACTGGACAGCTACATGTAAAAGAACGAAATTAGAACACTCCCTAACACCATACACAAAAATAAACTTAAAATGGATTAGAGACTTAAATGTAAGACTGGATACTATAAAACTCTTAGAGGAAAACATAGGAATAACACTCTTTGACATAAATTCCAGCAAGATCTTTTTTGATCCACCTCCTAGAGTAATGGAAATAAAAACAAAAATAAACAAATGGGACCTACTGAAACTTAAAAGCTTTTGCACAGCAAAGGAAACTACAAACAAGATGAAAAGACAGCTTTCAGAATGGGAGAAAATATTGCAAATGAATCAATGGACAAAGGATCAATTTCTAAAATATATAAACAGCTCATGCAGCTCAATATTAAAAAAACAAACAACCCAATCCAAAAATAGGCAGAAGACCTAAATAGACATTTCTCCAAAGAAGACATAGCAGATGGCCAAGAAGCACATGAAAAGCTGCTCAACATCACTAATTATTAGAGAAATGCAAATCAGAACTGCAATGAGGAGCTTCCCTGGTGGCGCAGTGGTTGAGAGTCTGCCTGCCGATGCAGGGGACGTGGGTTCGTGCCCTGGTCCGGGAAGATCCCACATGCCGCAGAGTGGCTAGGTCCATGAGCCATGGCCGCTGAGCCTGCGCGTCCGGAGCCTGTGCTCCGCAACGGGAGAGGCCACAACAGTGAGAGGCCCACATACCGTCAAACAAAAAAAAAAACTACAATGAGGTATCACCTCACACCAGTTAGAATGGGCATAATCAGAAAATCTACAAACAACAAATGATGGAGAGGGTGTAGAGAAAAGGGAACCCTCTTGCACTATTGGTGGGAATGTAAATTGATACAGCCGCTATGGAGAACAGTATGGACATTCCTTAAAAAACTAAAAATAGAATTTCCATATGACCCAGCAATCCCACTACTGGGCATATACCCAGAGAAAACCACAATTGAAAAAGACACATGCACCCTAATGTTCATTGCAGCACTATTTACAATAGCCAGGTCATGGAAGCAACCTAAATGCCCATCGACAGATGAATGGATAAAGAAGATGTGGTACATATATGCAATGGAATATTACTCAGCCATTAAAAGGAATGAAATTGGGTCATTTGTAGAGACGTGGATGAATCTAGAGACTGTCATACAGAGTGAAGTAAGTCAGAAAGAGAAAAACAAATATCGTATATTAACGTATATATGTGGAACCTAGAAAAATGGTACAGATGAACTGGTTTTCAGGGCAGAAACTGAGACAGAAATGCAGAGAACAAATGTATGGACACCCAGGGGGGAAAGCGGCAGGGGTGGAGGTGGTGGTGTGATGAATTGGGAGATTGGGATTGACATATATACACTAATATGTATAAAATGGATAACTAATAAGAATATGCTGTATAAAAACAAATAAAACAAAAAAATATAGAATCAATGATGAAAAGAAATAACTAAATGGTAAAAGAGAGGATAAGCTTACCATCTTAGCTTCAAAAACATTAGTAATATGTTTTCATCACTGTTTCCAGATATGGTAATCTTAGCCATTTTAGTTGCATTAAGAGGTAAATGATTGATATTGATAGTATAGTCTATTCAATTAAGGACATACAGGGTGAATCTAATTGTTTTATGGGAATGCAATTTCTTTCCATATTGACTCTCAGCACAGAGTTAATTTGGAATACAACCAAATGCTTTCAAAAACAGTTATAGATGACACTAACCATGTGTAGATGCTACTTTATAAAAGAGAGATATAAACAATTTTGTAGGTATAGAGTATACGGAAAGGACTATTGAAGACAACTGAAATTTACTGTATGTGTATAAAGTTTATGTATATGCAAAGAGTCATATAATGAACATATACACACACACCATAAACTCCTTGAGAACGAGAACACTCCCAGGTGTTTTCTCTGCAGAGCACAGAGGTTAAAGGCATGGGCTTTGCGGTTAGAGAAACCTGGAACTGACTCTCATCTCTGACCTTTAATAACTGTGAGACCTTGAATAACTTACCTAATGCTTCTATGCCTCAGTTTCCTCAATAGAAAATAGAAAAAAATAACAACTATACTCATATGATTATTTTGAAGATTGAGTAAGATGATATATGTATAGAACTTACACTACCAGGCAGATAAATCCTAAGTACTCAGTGAATGGTAAATACAGTATTATTGTTATTATCCTCATTATCCTCATCTTCAGACTAGACCCAGGTAACTGGAATGCAATCACAGTTCTGCCTCAATCAGGCAAATGACCTTGGGTGAGTCAATTAACTTTTCAATACTTCATTCTGCTGATCTATATAATGATGTCCAATCCAGGGGAGGAAGAGCAGAGGTGCTGCAGAATGGCTGGACTATGTGATGGTGGGCATTTTATAGGATGTTTGCAAAGGGCAGAGTGGGTGGCATGGAACTGGGGCAGTAAGAGGCTGCTGCATCAGTGCTTCCCAGAAAGTACAATTTCACAAACAGGTAAAAAAGGATTTTTTTTTTTTTAAGTTTCTGTGGCACCAAGAGAGGTCTGTCAACTTTTTATTCTGCCAACCTTTTAATCAACAAAAACCAAATATCTACCTACCATCTCCCTCCTTTCATAAGAGGGAAAATTTACAACCAACATAATAGAAAGAACACAATCTTAGACTCTCCATCAAAGTGAATAAATTTAGCCTGTAAAGAAGATCTGGCCAGTGGAGATCAGCATTTCAAATGGCAATATACTCTGAATGAGCGAGTGTAGGGAAGGGAGGAAGGAAGCCAAAACTTGAGCCTTGGAAACACTTGGGAGGGGAGATGAGAGAGAGGCCAGCAAAGAGCAGCAGAAACAGCAGCTCTGAGCATCAGAGGGATGGCAGGAGGCAGGAACAGAGCGGGAGAAAGGACCCCTGGCTTGGAGTGAAAAAGTGAGGTCTGTGTCAAAATATGGTATTAAATCTAAACATTTAAACACCTAAATCAAATAAAATCAATTTGGCTTTATCATGCCATTCTGAAAGCACTACCTAATTACTCTAAATAAAATATTAGAACCATAACTTACAGTTGAAATAATCAGATTTGCCCATCCATAAGTTTATTTTTCCATATTACTATTTACTCAAAACAGCAAAAGAATATCAGCTATAATAGATACAATATCAGCTATTAGTATTATATGTAATATCAGCTATATTATATGTAACATAATATATAATATTTATAGTATATAATATAGCATATTCTTATCATTAAAGCCATAGACTACTGATTACAAGTACTTTAAAATTTAGTCTAGGTAGAAATAAATGAAAATAACCTAAAATCTAATAGTAGGGAAATATTACATATATACACCTTGTAAGGTGATATGATAAAATATTAGGCAACCCTTAAAAATCTTGTTTTCAAAAATGATTTAATGATTTGTGAAAATGCTCTTGATATAGTATGAAGTAGAAAGGGTATTACACATTTCTGTGTAATTCTCTTTTAGGAATATTTATAATAATAAAAGTCTGGAAAAAGAAAACATACCAAAAAGATAAAATTGATCAACTCTGGTATTACAGATAATTTAATATTCCTTATATTTTTCTGTATTTTACACACTTTCCACAATAAACATGCATTACTTTTATAATTAAGGGAAAAAATTATAATTAACTTAACAAACTACTTACCCTTGGGAGTTTAGGATTGAAGTAGTTAATTACTCCAAACTCAAAATAAGATGCAAAACCTTCATTGAGCCAGATATTGTTCCACCAATTCATGGTAACCAAGTTTCCAAACCACTTTTGGAGTTGGGAAAAAAAAATTCTTAAATTCAATTTAAGAAATATTTATCGTAATTGCATGTGAAATAAATGTAAGGTCAAAGACAAAATTAAATGCGTTTTGCTATCAGTGATAAACTTGAAAACAGGACTCCAAAATGACGTTGTTGTTTTAACATGAAGAGATGTCAGTCATGCATTTCTTCTAAAATAATCATTTCACATCCAATGATTGAAAGCAATTTTTGTTTTAAAATTGTGATGTTAAAAAATAAGGTAAGCTAGAGTAGCAGTTCTTAAATTGTCCACTTTGCCCCAAAGTTAAGTTAAATCAGAAGTCCTGAAAGTTTACTTAGCACCTACTAATTACAGAATCTTATACCTCTAAACAGACTACATTAGGATCTTGCTGTAAGCAATGATTGTGTTTTCAGGACATGATTTGATCTGCACCATGTAAAAATCACTCAAGTATTCATATGTTCTGCAAAGTGGTACAGCTATAGTTATTTTCTATTTGAGCTTAACAGAAAGAAACTGTCAAACAGATGATAAATAGAATCAGGAAAGAAAAACACAATAATTTCCAAAACCAACAAATCCACGTCCTGGTATTTAACCAAATTCTTATATAACAACTGTGATGTACTAACAGCAGCCTGTATTCCAAAACAATGTGTCATTTAGGCTATAATAAAAAATGACACTTTGGGTGACTGATCAAAACTTGTGAAAGCATGTGTTGACTGTGTAACAGGGTGTTATTCAATCCCTGTAAATCACTCTTCTCCAAAACTGCTTAGGGGTCCATATAACAAAAAGATAACAATATCATAGCTTAGATGACTTATTTCTTGACAAACTCGATTTATAAAGGTCAAAATGCAGATGTGAGAAACTCCATCAAATCAAATAACTAAACTTCAAAAATCACAGCATAAAAGCATATAGATCTAATGAAATAAGTCCTGTTTACATCACCTTTGGGGATGCAGCTCAAGGATTAATTACTGCTCACCTCACTGACACTAGTATATTGACTATAATCCTTTAACTTGTAACTTCTCTCAAAAAAAAAAGTTTGTAATAATCTGCTAATGAAATGTGGATATCTTCCAGTGACTTTTTTGAATATCTCTATTTTAAGATGGAATGGAAAGCAAATAATCATAGCTCTGCTTGGCTTACTTTTCCTGAAGAGAACTTTGTGGAACACAGTTACTCTTTGGATATAAATATATGACCTGCAAATGTTCTTTAAGTTCTCATCACTGTGATTTATCACCAATAGTTCAAATCCACCCAGGATCTGATTACACAGATCCTTCCTGGTTTTCTTTCAGCGACCCACTTTTCAAATAATTTTTAAAATTTGGTGTACAGCAGGGTTTGGGGGGGTCGCTACTTTTGGTACAGAAGCTGGAGAATATTTTCATGTGAAATAAGAAAGAACGTTTTACCACATGCCTGATGTCCAATCTCGTGGGAGACAATATAGGAGATCACAGTCTTTTTTTCTGTTAGTTTATCATTTGGTTGCAGCAACAATAATGACTCATCAAACATCAACAGTCCCCAGTTCTCCATTGCACGGTTGTCAAAAGTAGGCAAAGCAATTATATCTAAGTGGATTTAAATGGAGGGAAAAATGAAATCATCTCTTCCTCAAAATTTGAGACTTCCAGATACAAACATCTCAAAATGAAATCATAAAATTACTGAAAGAAAAATGCAAGTAAATATTTATAATTTAAGGGGAAAGAAGGCTTTAAAGACATACCAAAGACAGAGCCAGAAAATAAACTGTTTTGACTATATGAAAATTAAATACTTTTGATAAAGGACCTATATTCAAAATATACAAAGAACCCTTGAAACTCAACAATAAGAAAATAACTTTACAAAATTAGCAAAAGATCTAAATAGACACTTCACTAAAGAGATACAAATGGCAAATAAACAGATGAAAACATGCTCAACATCATATGTCATTAGGAATTTTCAAATTAAAATGACAATGAGATACCACGACACACCAATTCAAAACAAAACACCAAATGCTGGAGAAGATGTGGAACAACAAAGACTCTCATTCATTGCTGGTGGGAATGCAAAATGGTACAGCCACTTCAGAAGACAATTTGGCAGTTTCTTGTAAAGCTAAACATAGGCTGACTATACAGTCTAGCAACTGAGATCCTAGGTATTTACCCAAATGAGTCAGAAACTTATGTCAGAAATATGCACATGAATATTTATAGCAGTCTTATTCATAACTGCCAAAACTTGGAAGCAATCAAGATGTCTTTTAATAGGTGAATGGATAAAGAAACTGTAGTACAGCCATACAACAGAATACTATTTAGTGATAAAAAGAAATGAGCTGGGCTTCCCTGGTGGCGCAGTGGTTGAGAGTCCGCCTGCCGATGCAGGGGACACGGGTTTGTGCCCCGGTCCGGGAAGATCCCACGTGCCGCGGAGCGGCTGGGCCAGTGAGCCATGGCCGCTGAGCCTGCGTGTCCGGAGCCTGTGCTCCGCAACGGGAGAAGCCACAGCAGTGAGAGGCCCGCGTACCGCAAAAAGAAAAAAAAAAAAAGAAATGAGCTATCAAGCTATGAAAGGACACGGAGAAAACTTAAATGCATGTCACTAAGTGAAAGGAGCCAGTCTGAAAAAGCCACACATGGTATGATTCCAGTTAGTATATAACAGTATGGAAAAGGCAAAACTATAGAGACAGTAAAAGATCAGTAGTTATCAGGGACGTGGGGAAAAGAGGGAGAATGAATAGGTAGAGCACAGGGGATTTTTTATGACAGTGAAACTATCCGTATGATACTGTAATGGTAGAGACCTGTCATTACTATATACATTTGTCAAAACTCACAGAACTGTACAACACAAAGAGTGAACTCTAATGTAAACTATGGACTTTAGTTAATAAAAATGTATCAATACAGGTTCATCAATTGTAATTTAAAAAAAAGCCACACCAATGTCAGACGTTAACAATAGAAGAAACTGGGGTTGGGGACAAGGGGAGGGATAGGAGGTATATGAGGACTCTCTACACTTTGGGCACAATTTTTCTGTAAACCTAAAACTGCTCTAAAAAATAAAGTCTATTTAAAATCAATTTTTTTTTTTTTTTTTTGCGGTACACGGACCTCTCACTGTTGTGGCCTCTCCGTTGCGGAGCACAGGCTCCGGATGCACAGGCTCAGCGGCCATGGCTCACGGGCCCAGCCACTCCGCGGCATGTGGGATCCTCCTGGACCGGGGCACGAACCCGTGTCCCCTGCATCGGCAGGCGGACTCTCAACCACTGCGCCACCAGGGAAGCCCAGCTCATTTCTTTTTATCACTAAATAGTATTCTGTTGTATCAAATATTTTAGTTCACCAAAAAACACCACAAAAAATTTGAAAGGCAAAACACGGACTGGGAAAAATATTTGCAGCATATATCATAACTAGACAATATTTTTTCAATATTTAAAGAACTCTGACGAATCAAAAAGAAAAAATAAAAATATGAACAACTCATGAAGGAAATCATTCGAACAGCCAAAAATCTTATTTAAAATGTTCAGCTTCTTTGTATCAAAAACAAAAATTAAAACAATGATATAACTTAATCTTTCAAATGTATGAGAAGATTAATAATTAGTATTGCCTAGAATTAATAATTAAATATAGGAAAACTGTCACATAGCCTTTTGGCAAGGGTGTGAACTGGTACAATTTTTCTGGAGCAATCCAGCAAAATGCTTCGTGACCTTTAAAAATGTTCCTACCCTTTCCACTTTTGGAATTTCTACTAAGGCAAGTAGCATGGATATTTGTAAAAATTTCCTTATGTTTTCTTTAGTGTTTTAAAAGCAGCACCCACCCAAAAAGGTAAAATCAGTCCAAATGTTCAACCACTGAGGATTAAATAAATTATTCTGTCAAACTGATATGTAGGCATCCTATGTCTTAAAAATGACAATAAAAAAGAATAGTTATCTGGATCATGTTGCTATATACTGTTAACTTAAAAAAAAAAAAGGCCAAAGAATAGTATCAATTCCATGGTATCATTTTTGTTAAAAACAAAGAAAGGTGGAGATTGAGACAAAGACAGACACTGGAAATATATACACCAAAATGTTACCCATGATTATCTCTACATGGTAGCAAAACAGGAGATTTTGCTTCTCTTTTTTGTGCTTTTCCCTATCTTTCCACATTTTCGACAGTGGGATCATTATTACTTCTAAAACTAGAACAAGTCTTAAAAGTTTCTTTTGCTAATGTACGAAATATCATTCCTATAGTCCATGCTACATTTGCCTAATGAATGCTTTATGCTGCGCTATGCTCAGTAATTTTAGTTGACTTTACACTTGGTTGAAGTTGACAGTACATAGTAAAGCGTATCCAGGTAGTGGATACACAGCCTCCACCAGGTAATGCTCTTTTATCTTTGGGTATACTTAGTTGCCTCAGCCTAGGTCTCCCATTCTTCTACCTATCCTTTCCTCCACCAGCACCCATCCTACCCAGCAACCCACCCACTTTCCTCACAAAAGACTGCTCTACTCCGCTCAAGCCAATCCCTTTGGCTCTCTACAACCACTGAGTCGTTCTCTGCTGGAGCTGTTTGCTATCCCAGGAAATCCTCTGCTCAGTCTATGAATGCCACCAATACTTGTGGTCCAATCTAACCAACTTTAAGAAGCCATTTATAACTAACCCTGATGACTATTTTAAAAAAATTGTTTTTTCTTTACTTCAGATGCATACAACTGGAGTAAGCAAAATTCTTGTTTCTTCACACATGACCCTGTTTTATTTTATTTTAATGATGAATTCATTATTTTAAAATAATAATACAAAACCCATGACTCTACCACTTACCCTTTAGAACAGGGGTTGGCAAATTTTTTCCATAAAGGGCCAGATTAGTAGATAGTTTCAGCTTTGTGGGCTATATGTTTTCTGTAACACATTTAGCTCAGGCATACCAGCACAAAAGTAGCCACACACACTATGTAAGCAAATGAGCACGTTGTGGTGCAATAAAACTATGGACCCTGAAATACGAATTTTATATAAAATTCTCATGTATCACAAAATATTATTCCCTTGATTTTTTTTTTTTTTTTTTTTGAGGTACACGGGCCTCTCACTGTTGTGGCCTCTCCCGTTGCGGAGCACAGGCTCCGGACGCGCAGGCTCAGCGGCCATGGCTCACGGGCCCAGCCGCTCCGTGGCATGCGGGATCCTCCCGGACCGGGGCACGAACCCGTGTCCCCTGCATCGGCAGGCGGACTCTCAACCACTGGGCCACAAGGGAAGCCCTATTCCTTTGATTTTTTTGCAACCATTTAAAATTGTAAAAACCAATCTTAGCTCATGGACCATACAAAAATAGGCGGTGGGCCAGATTTGATTGCTTGCCTGTGCCTAATTTAGATTATTATTAATAACTTGTATTCTGATTTCCAGACTGGCAGCATCAGCACCACCAGGGAGCTTATCAGAAATAAAAATTCTGGGACCAACCCCAGACCTACTGAATCAGAAACTCTGGGGTCAGGAGCAGCAATCTGTGGTTTAACCAGCCTTGCAAGTGATTCCAGTGTATGGTAACATTTGGGAACAGCTGACTTACATCTTCCTCTGTGCTCCTTCTCAACTCAACCTTTGGCTTATTCTTCCAGAGATTCACCACTATCCTGAACTTGGTGTTTATCATTCCATTGTTTAAGAAAAACCAAGGGAATATATATATTGTTGCTAATATTATATATAATATTGCCTAAATATTATATTGTTTAGGTTTCTTTTGTTTTTAAACTTTAGAAAGAGTGTTTCATTTTCATTGCTGGATAGTTTCCCGTTGTGTGAATGAACCACACTGTATCTATCCATTCTCCTATCGGTGACCATTTTGGTTGCTTTCAGTTTGGGGCTAGTACGAAAAGTGTGGCTATGAACATTCTTGCACATGTCTTCTGGCACATATATGCCCAAATTCCTCTTGGGGTATATCTAGCAATGGAATTACTGAGTTTTAAGGTATTCTAATGATCAACATTGTAAGATAACAAATAAGTTTCAAAGTTGTAACAACTGATACTCCCTTCAACAACGTCACTTTCTATTGGCATTTGTCAGAATGCCTACTCTTTGACAACTGAGTGGTATGAAATGGTGCCTCACTGTGGCCTTGGATATTCATTTCTCAGATTGCTTAATGAGGCTAAGTATCACTCCATAAGTTTATTAGTCATATCTATTTCCTTTTCTGTAAAACATCTATTCATATATCTTTTGCTTGTTTTTTTATATTGTATTTTTCTTATTTATTTGTAGGTGTTCTTTATATATTTGGGCTACTCCCATTACCAGTTATCAATCCTTTTTCTTTTAAGAGTTTTGTTTTACCCAGTACGTTATCTCATACTTAGCAATTTGTTGCTTTTGCTTTTAACATGTAGAAGCTATCTCCCTAACTGAGCTACTTGAACAGAGCCTCAGCCATCTACTTCTTCTGCATTCACAGAGCACCTAGGAAAGTAATAGGTGATTCTCATTTACTCAGTAGCTTCTAATTGATTATGGTCATTATTTCATTGCTTTATGATTTATATTGTACTTGAGTTTTACTACTACAAAAATACAGATCATGCTGGGATGTACAATACATATCATTAGCCTGATATAGTTAAAAGTTAAGAGTAAAATAAAAACTTAAAAGGGAAGTTGCCATTTTAAAAGTTTGCAAATCTCAAATGCCCATATTTATTCCTAAAAGCATCATGATGCCACTTTTTCTTTCAAAACTTACAACAACCCAAACAGCCAACTCTATCATCTCTGTAATATTTTGATATTTCAGTCCACTTCTGACTTTAAACAGAATGAATTAAAATGATAGTAACACCAGAAAAAAAAATGTTGTTCTAAAGAAAAAAACTCTAATTTGAAAAGATACATGCACCCCAATGTTCACAGCAGCACTATTCACAATAGTCAAGACATGGATACAACCTAAATATCCATCAACAGACGAATGTGTGTGTGTGTGTATATATATATATATATAAAATGAAATATTACTCATCCATAAAAAAATGAAATAATGCCATTTGCAGCAATATGATGGACCTAGAGATTGTCATACTAAGCGAAGTAAGTCTGACAGAGAAAGACAACTGTCATATATGTGGAATCTAAAATATTGATACAAATGAACTTATTTAAAAAACAGAAATAGACTCACAGACAGAAAACAAACTTATGGTTACCAAAGGGGTAAGGGGGAAAGGGGTAAATTAGGAATTTGGGGTAAACAGATACACACTGCTATATATAAAATAGATATAGGGCAAGGACCTACTGTATAGCACAGGGAACTATATTCAATATCTTGTAATAACCTATAATGGAAAAGAATCTGAAAAAGAACAGATATGTATCTAACTGAATCACTTTGCTGTACACCTGAAACACTGTAAATCAACTATACTTAAATAAAAAAAGCAGAAAGAAAGAAAAAAATGCTATTCTATGTAATAGATATATACACATCGTTTAGATTCTGAGGCTTAGAATTCAACTGAGCAAGCCTCAAGAAGGTAAGCTAAAAGAACACCATGGAAGAAATAAATAAAAAGGCTTTTCACCTGACTCACTGAGAGTAAAGGGTAAGGAGTATGTGGGAAGTGCTGATAGGAAAGGTTTGGCTTTCTTGCTTTTTTTGTGTGTTTGTTTGTTCTTGTTTTTAAATGACTCAACCAAAAGTTAAAGTAATTAGGAAACATTAGTTTATCTTTCTCTTAAAGATCCAGTAATAGAGAAACTCCTTATTTTATTTATTTTTTTTTGCGGTACACGGGCCTCTCACCGTTGTGGCCTCTCCCACTGCGGAGCACAGGCTCTGGACGCACAGGCTCAGCCGCCATGGCTCATGGGCCCAGCCGCTCCGCGGCATGTGGGATCTTCCCGGACTGGGGCACGAGCCCGTGTCCCCTGCATCGGCAGGCGGACTCTCAACCACTGTGCCACCAGCGAAGCCTGAAACCCCTTATTTTAATCATCTATCAAAATGCGGTTTTGACTAAGCACCACCTGCATGTGTGCTCACAGAGCAACATTGGCTGAGATGCTATGAAAGATACAGAAAAAGTGCCAATATAACCCTGACTTCCAAGAGTTGGTAATCTAGCCACAATTTACATGGAATTACTGAACTCATTGCATGTATTTATTCCTCCGCCCCCCCCCAAAAAAAAATGTTTACTGTTTACCACTCTGAGAGAAGCACTGTCATAGGCTCTGAGAGTACTTAAAAAAGGACAGTCCAGATCCTGACCCGCAACTTGCCCTCGACCTACTGGGGGAGATGATTAGGATCTATTAGGTCAAGAGCTTGAATGCAGGGGTGCACAGGATGCTGTAGAAGCATGAGAGATGGAGTCAGGGAAAGCTTCATGGAGGAGGGGGCACTGAGTTGAGAAATATAAGAATCAACCTGTTGGGTAAAAGGTATGGCAGGATGTGCAAACTGCACGTGCAAGAGCCTGAAGGAGAGGAGAGGAAGATGAAAGTGTAGGAGAGGATAGAGATGGTGTTAGAGCATCCCTCCTACTCTGAGAAACTGTGAAAAGCCCCAAGAGGTTGGCAAAAGATGCACTGTTACAAAGACAGGGTGTGGAATTTGGACTTTATCTTCAAATGGGAAGCCACAGAGAGGTTTTAGAGGATAGTAACATGATCAGATTTTGCTTTGGAAAAATCCCTCTGGCCTCAGTGTGGAAGATGGATTGGAGGAGATAAGAGCGAAAGTGGTGAAACTAAGTGAGAGCTGTTGTGGTCAAGCTGTTGGTGATGTAAACTAGGGAGAATGAGGGGGATGGGAAGAAGTGGATGGATGTGGAGATAATAAGGAGGTGACTAATTGGATGGAGGAGATGCTTTGACAGAACAGGATATCAAGAATAACTCTGGACTTCTCCTTATCTAAATAAAGACAAATGGAAATTTGCTTGCCTAGACAAGGGTTATCTTAAGATCTTCCAGCCACAAAAGTGCCAGAACTTGGTCTCCATGCCCAGATTCCTGCTGCCTCCAACTTTCTAAATGACGGGTATCACCTCTGGGATCCGTGAGGGGGCCAAGGCTAGTCCCCATTCCTTCACTCCCCATCCCTCCTCAGCAGAAGGCTTGAGCTGCAGAGCCCCTGGCTTCCCAGTGTTCAAGAGGCTTGAGCTTCCCAATTTTTACTCCCCACTTTCCTTCTACTATATGCCAGTAAAGGCCACACATACTTTTCCCCAAGACTTCAACTAACTAACCTGTCAGAGGAACAAAACACACTTACATGATACCCTTAATTTTGATAGAAAAAACATGGAACAACTTTCTGAGCTGAGTGGCTCACATAATTTTAAGGACATTCCATACAGATCTATGAGAAATAAAATGTTTACATATCCCTTCGAGGATCATATTATGTTCACACATGATCCCAATTTTATACAACAAAAATTCACAGATGGGACCCCCAGGTCCTAACCCAATGACTCACAGCTAAAGAATATTTTTTGAAAAACCAACAAAACCTTACTAAAGTGAACTGGAGTAACTCACACAAGCGGCTAAAAGGATGCAGAACACTGCATTGCACACTCACGTTATGAGAGGAAAGGACAGAATGCAAGAGAGAAGACAGGGTCTGGAGGGTGTAAGTTGCCAGTGAGTACCCAGGAGGAATCTAAAGCCAGGTAGCTCTCCGAGCACTTACTGGTCACATGGAATGATGCAGAGAAAGAACAGACAGGCCCCTGTGTGTTTAGGAAGGTGTAGGACATAATGATGGGAAGCCAGCGGGGCTAACTCCAAAACAGCAAAAATAGCAAAGTGCCAATGGGTCCTTGGAGGCCCGTCTAGATACCTTTTGATCTCAACCCAGGGCCCCCATAATAGGAAATCAAATACATTGTAAGGGAAGATGCCTCACCTGTTTTTGGAAGAGGGTAACTAATATTAAATAAATCCTCCAGAAAAGAGAAGATGGGACCTGTGATGTTCAAAGCAAAGTCTGCATTTCCAGCTGCGATGGCTTCTTTCCGGGCCCAGATGCGTATCTAAACAGAAACAATTAAGCAGTGATTAGGAAAAGCAGTAGTGATTTTTGGAAAGTGGCAGCCTGCTTGCTCCAGTTCCCTGATGCTCTGAAGCCAAAGGCTTACCTTTTCAGAGGAAGCTGCATAATAAAACGTTTGAACGTGTCCACACAATGAGAAAAGCCCAGAAGGCTATTCACTAAGTTGAGAACAGTGGTTCCTCAGAAAGTGTGTTATTTCACTCTTTTGCAATAACATGTAAAATTTTGTAGTTCAAAAATAATCCTGGGAGAGACGAGGGGAAGATGGCGGAAGAGTAAGACGCGGAGATCACCTTCCTCCACACAGATACACCAGAAATACATCTACACGTGGAACAACTCCTACAGAACGCCTACTGAACGCTGGCAGAAGACCTCAGACCTTCCAAAACGCAAGAAACCCCCCCACGTACCTTGGTAGGGCAAAAGAAAAAGGAATAAACAGAGACAAAAGGATAGGGACGGGACCTGCACCAGTGGGAGGGAGCTGTGAAGGAGGAAAGTTTTCCACACACTAGGAAGCCCCTTCGTGGGCGGAGACTGCAGGTGGCGGACGGGGGAGAGCTTCGCAGCCGCGGAGGAGAGCACAGCAACAGGGGCGCGAAGGGCAAAGCGGGGAAATTCCCGCACAGAGGATCAGGGCCGACCGGCACTCACCAGCCCGAGAGGCTTGTCTGCTCACCCGCCGGGGCGGGCGGGGCTGGGAGCTGAGGCTTGGACTTCGGTCGGAGCGCAGGGATCGGACTGCGGTTGGCGGCGTGAGCACAGCCTGCAGGGGGTTAGTGCACCACGGCTGGCCAGGAGGGAGTCCGGGGAAAAGTCTGGACCTGCCGAAGACGCAAGAGACTTTTTCTTCCCTCTTTGTTTCCTGGTGCGCGAGGAGAGGGGATCAAGAGCACTGCTTACAGGAGCTCCAGAGACTGGCGCGAGCCGCGGCTAAAAGCGCGGACCCAGAGACGGGCATGAGACGCTAAGGCTGCTGCTGCCGCCACCAAGAAGCCTGTGTGCGAGCACAGGTCACTGTCCACACCCTGCTTCCGGGGAGCCTGTGCAGCCCGCCACTGCCAGGGTCCCGGGAGCCAGGGACAACTTCCCAAGAGACCGCACAGCACGGCACGCCTCAGGCAGGTGCAACGTCACGCCGGCCTCTGCCGCAGCAGGCCCGCCCCGCATTCCATGCCCCTCCCTACCCCCCGGCCTGAGTGAGCCAGAGCCCCCGAATCAGTGGCTCCTTTAACCCCGTCCTGTCTGAGCGAGGAACAGACGCCCTCCGGCGACCTACACGCAGAGGCAGGGCCGGATCCAAAGCTGAGCCCCTGGGAGCTGTGAGAACAAAGAAGAGAAAGGGAAATCTCTCCCAGCAGCCTCAGGAGCAGCGGACTAAAGCTTCACAATCACCTTGATGTACCCTGCATCTGTGGAATACATGAATAGACAACCAATCATCCCAAATTAAGGAGGTGGACTTTGAGAGCAAGATTTATGATTTTTCCCCCTTTTCCTCTTTTTGTGAGTGTGTATGTGTATCCTTCTGTGTTAGATTTTGTCTGTATAGCTTTGCTTCCACCATTTGTCCTAGGGTTCTATCCGTCCGTTTCTTTAAAAATTTTTTTTCTTAATAATTATTTTTTATTTTAATAAATTTATTATGTTTTATCTTATTTTATTTTACTTTATCTTCTTTCTTTATTTCTTTTTTCCTTCCTTCACTCCTTCCTTCCTTCCTTCCTCCCTCCCTCCCTTCCTCCTTTCTTTCTTTCTTTCTACTTCTAATAATTCTTTCTTTCTACTTTTTCTCCCTTTTATTCTGAGCCGTGTGGATGAAACGTTCTTTGTGCTACAGCCAGGAGTCAGTGCTGTGCCTCTGAGGTGGGAGAGCCAACTTCAGGACACTGGTCCACAAGAGACCTCCCAGCTCCACATAATATCAAACGGCAAAAATCTCCCAGAGATCTGCATCTCAACACTAGCAGCCAGCTTCACTCAACGAGCAGCAAGCTACACTGCTGGACATCCTATGCCAAACAACTAGCAAGACAGGAACACAGCCCTACCCATTAGCAGAGAGGCTGCCTAAAATCATAATAAGTCCACAGACACCCCAAAACACACCACCAGACGTGGACCTGCCCACCAGAAAGACAAGATCCAGCCTCAACCACCAGAACACAGGCACTAGTCCCCTCCACCAGGAAGCCTACACAACCCACTGAACCAACCTTAGCCACTGAGGACAGACACCAAAAACAACGGGAACTACAAACCTGCAGCCTGCAAAAAGGAGACCCCAAACACAGTAAGATAAGCAAAATGAGAAGACAGAGAAACACACAGCAGATGAAGGAGCAAGATAAAAACCCACCAGACCTAACAAATGAAGAGGAAATAGGCAGTCTACCTGAAAAAGAATTCAGAATAATGATAGTAAAGATGATCCAAAATCTTGGAAATAGAATGGACAAAATGCAAGAAACATTTAACAAGAACCTAGAAGAACTAAAGATGAAACAAACAACAATGAACAACACAATAAATGAAATTAAAACTTCTCTAGATGGGATCAATATCAGAATAACTGAGGCAGAAGAACGGATAAGTGACCTGGAAGATAAAATAGTGGAAATAACTACTGCAGAGCAGAATAAAGAAAAAAGAATGAAAAGAACTGAGGACAGTGTCAGAGACCTCTGGGACAACATTAAACGCACCAACATTCGAATTCTAGGGGTTCCAGAAGAAGAAGAGAAAAAGAAAGGGACTGAGAATATATTTGAAGAGATTATAGTTGAAAACTTCCCTAATATGGGAAAGGAAATACTTAATCAAGTCCAGGAAGCACAGAGACTCCCATACAGGATAAATCCAAGGAGAAATATGCCAAGACACATATTATTCAAACCGTCAAAAATTAAATACAAGGAAAACATATTAAAAGCAGCAAGGGAAAAACAACAAATAACACACAAGGGAATCCCCATAAGGTTAACAGCTGATCTTTCAGCAGAAACTCTGCAAGCCAGAAGGGACTGGCAGGACATATTTAAAGTGATGAAGGAGAAAAACCTGCAACCAAGATTACTCTACCCAGCAACGATCTCATTCAGATTTGATGGAGAAATTAAAACCTTTACAGACAAGCAAAAGCTGAGAGAGTTCAGCACCACCAAACCAGCTTTACAACAAATGCTAAAGGAACTTCTCTAGGCAAGAAACAAAAGACAAGTAAAAGACCTACAATAACGAACCCAAAACAATTAAGAAAATGGGAATAGGAACATATATATCAATATTTACCTTAAATGTAAATTGACTAAATGCTCCTACCAAAAGACACAGATTGGCTGAATGGATACAAAAACAAGACCCATATATATGCTGTCTACAAGAGACCCACTTCAGACCTAGAGACACATACAGATTGAAAGTAAGGGGATGGAAAAAGATATTCCATGCAAATGGAAACCAAAAGAAAGCTGGAGTAGCAGTTCTCATATGAGACAAAATAGACTTTAAAATAAAGACTATTAGAAGAGACAAAGAAGGACACACTACATAATGATCAAGGGATCAATCCAAGAATAAGATATAACAATTGTAAATATTTATGCACCCAACATAGGAGCACCTCAATACAAAAGGCAAATGCTAACAGCCATAAAAGGGGAAATCGACAGTAACACAATCATAGTAGGGGACTTTAACACCCCACTTTCACCAATGAACAGATCATCCAAAATGAAAATAAATAAGGAAACACAAGCTTTAAATGATATATTAAATAAGATGGACTTAATTGATATTTATAGGACATTCCACCCAAAAACAATAGAACACACTTTCTTCTCAAGTGCTCATGGAACATTCTCCAGGATAGATCATATCTTGGGTCACAAATCAAGCCTTGGTAAATTTAAGAAAATTGAAATTGTATCAAGTATCTTTTCCGACCACAAGGCTATGAAATTAGATATCAATTACAGTGAAAGAGCTGTAAAAAATACAAACACATGGAGGCTAAACAATACACTACTTAATAACGAAGTGATCACTGAAGAAATCAAAGAGGAAATAAAAAAATACCTAGAAACAAATGACAATGGAGACACGATGACCCAAAATCTATGGGATGCAACAAAAGCAGCTCTAAGAGGGAAGTTTATAGCGATACAATCCTACCTTAAGAAACAGGAAACATCTCGAATAAAAACCTAACCTTGCGCCTAAAGCAATCAGAGAAAGAAGAACAAAAAACCCCCAAAGTTAGCAGAAGGAAAGAAATCATAAAGATCAGATCAGAAATAAATGAAAAAGAAATGAAGGAAATGATAGCAAAGATCAATAAAACTAAATGCTGGTTCTTTGAGAAGCTAAACAAAATTGAAAAACCATTAGCCAGACTCATCAAGAAAAAAAGGGAGAAGACTCAAATCAATAGAATTAGAAATGAAAAAGGAGAAGTAACAACTGACACTGCAGAAATACAAAAGATCATGAGAGATTACTACAACCAACTCTATGCCAATAAAATGGACAACCTGGAAGAAATGGACAAATTCTTAGAAATGCACAACCTGCCAAGACTGAATCAGGAAGAAATAGAAAATATGAAGGGACCAATCACAAGCACTGAAATTGAAACTGTGATTAAAAATCTTCCAACAAACAAAAGCCCAGGACCAGATGGCTTCACAGGCGAATTCTATCAAACATTTAGAGAAGAGCTAACACCTATCCTTCTCAAACTCTTCCAAAATATAGCAGAGGGAGGAACACTCCCAAACTCATTCTACGAGGCCACCATCACCTTGATACCAAAACCAGACAAGGATGTCACAAAGAAAGAAACCTACAGGCCAATATCCCTGATGAACATAGATGCAAAAATCCTCAACAAAATTCTAGGAAACAGAATCCAACAGCACATTAAAAGGATCATACACCATGATCAAGTGGGGTTTATTCCAGGAATGCAAGGATTCT